AAAAAAAAAAAAAAAAAAAAATACTTAAGTAAAATTAGAATAACTATGAATAATAAATTGAAGTATTTTTCAAAATGCTATTAAAAAATAACTAGCTATGACTATAGACAACACAAAGACAAAATAAGTTCATTAGTATATTTATTTTATACCTTTAATTTAGATTTTCCCATCTCAGAAACTGATTCAGTTTTTGATGTTTCAAGTGATTTAATCCCAGAAATATCTGAACTTGTGTTGGTGTCATTGGGCGATAATGCTTCACGTTCTTTAGATGTGATACTTATGGTTTTATAAGATTTTGTTTCCTGGTTTTCTTTTTCTTCCTCTTCTGGATTATTAATACCACTATAAATTTCATAATATATAAATTAACAATTAATAATATATTATATTATATATTATAATTTTTTAAGACAATATGATTCTAAGATTTTTTACTTTGAATTAGTAGGTTTTGTTTTTTCTTTTTTTTTTTTCATAAAATTAAATGATCCTAAAGGCAACACAGCAATTCCACCAATTGGCTTCTAAATAAATAAATAAATATAAATAAAGTAATTACAATTTGATATGAAAATAAATATTATATAAGGTTAGATAGTTAAAAAGTAAAACCTGGGTATCAAACATTGGGCTATACCAAATATGGGTAAATATTTTTTTACTATAATCCATAATTTCTATAATATAAAAATAATAGTACTTCATTTTTAAACTTAATTTTTTACTTTTGATTTATGAGATTCTGAGTTACTTCGTTCTACTTCGTAATTGCCTTCTTCAGTTACAGAACTGTCACGAGAACTTGCACTAGTCATTTCTTTATTCTATGATAAAAGATAACCCATTAAGTTTTAATAAAAATATTTTTATTTCATAAAAAATATTATTATTAAATATAATTCAAGTAAATTAACATATCTTATTAATAAATCGTTTTTATAAACTATTACATCATGACCCCAATGATTTTAACAGATTTTTATTAATAATAATTTTCATAATAACACTTATAATACTAACTTTAGATTTATCCCTTTTGTTTTGACCAGAATTATTTCTTTCAGATGCACGAATAGGAGCATGGGACATTGTATGACGTTTAACTTCAGGTTCCATTCCAAAATCTTCTCCCATATGTCTAGTTCCTCCTAAAGCTACAGTTTAAACAAGTTTTTAATATTATAAAAATTGATCACTTGGGGCTAATTAATTAAATAAAATTAAAACTATATTAAAACTAAAGGAACATTGAAAATATTAAACTCAAAAGCCACAAAAATTACTGAAAAGTCGCAGATACGTATTTCGGAAGTAATGTTACCATTTTTAACGTTAAATACATACTGACACCTCGGGTTACCTAATAAATGTCTTAAATTATTGCTCTTAGATGTTACTAAAGTAATACCAAAATTCTTTAATATTCTAGCTAGTCCACTTGAGATGCCCAAATAATATAAAATGGGTGATGATCTAATTACTTTTTGTTCCCCACGCCAGTGAGTGTACTAGAACTGCCCTCCTTTCTTCATTCTACTTTTGTGTTTCGAATAATTTTAAAATTACGTTTTCATTATACCCATTAAATCTAGCTATTTCTTTTATAACCACCAGTTCTTTATCAAAAGCTATTTTATTCATCGGAATATTAATTAATCTGTAAACCATACTATTAAAAGCTGACAATTTGTGTTGCCAGGTGTAGTTCAATTTGTTCGGAATGTACCTAAATGTGTACGTGTTTTTCCAATAAATTTCAAACGCAATAGAAATGTTTAAAAATAAAAAAAATTTAATTGAGATCTTGGGCCACTGAAAAGTTCATTATTAAACTTGTGTAAACTGGTAAAATATAATAATATTACCTAATGACGACGTCACTAGGGGTATATAAGGGAGTTTTTTCTAGTCGGACTGTCAGTATGTATTTAGCGTTGATAATGGTAACATTACTTCAGAAATACGTATCCACGACTTTTCAGTAATTTTTTGTAGCTTTTGAATTTAATATTTTTAATATAATTTTAATTTTATTTAAGTTTTTAATAATTATTACAATGTTTTCATAAATAATTTTATAATGTGCTGATATTTAAATAAATTAGAATAATTATATCACCCTTTATTATCCAAATGTTTACATAATGAAATTAGTATCAATACAAATAATAGTTGTCAAGTGCATAACTTTAGATTTTTGGGGATTATACTAACTAAACATAGAAGTTTTTTTACTCTTTCTTGCTTTTATTTTAAGTATTGAAAAAAAATATCAACAATTTAAGAAAATAATCCGTCTAAACAAAATTTTATCAAATAGGTAATGAAAATATCAACATAGAGAAAAGTTATTTAATTGCTGTTAGATTGGTTTATAGAAAAATATAAATAAAGGCTTTATTGTTATTAAAAAATCTAATACTTACTATCCATACTTCTGGATGTTAATGCTCTTCCACTTAAACTGCGTTGAAACTTAGGAGCTGGTCTGTCAATAGGAGTTTTCTTAGTTTCATAATGAGTACGGCCAGAATAACGAAACCTCGATCCTAAACGTGGGAAAACCCCAAGTTTTTGAGTAGGTTCAGGAGACATCAGTCTAAAGTAAAGAAAATTAAACTTAATTTAATTAAGATTATGAAAAATAATTTTATAATACCTAAAGAATGTGTGATGTTCAACACATGTTTTCCATAATTTTTTAGCAAGGCGATGATTTGGTAGCTTAAAGCCAACAGTAGCTTCCTGTTGCTCAAATTCACCAGGTCGAATTTTAATGTAAAAATGATTTCTCTTGTATGATATCTTTAAAATTTTTGGCCACGCAAATCTATTGATGCGTAACCTATCTTTGTGAACAAGTAGTCCAGATGAACAAACTCCTAACATTATGTCTACACATTCAGAGTCTTTTGCTGGATGTAAATCTACTCCATACATGGCCAACTTTTTAGCATTATTTAAATAATTTAGCTCAGCTTCAGCTGGTGTTTGACCTCTATAAATAAAATATAAATATATATAAGTAAATATTTTAACAAATTTTATTTAGCATATTTACTTATGTGTTCTATGAAGTTCCATAACTTTTTCTTCCAATTCAGGTGTTTGATTTGGAGCAAATTTAAATTCTTTTAAATAATCTGTATTATTTTTATGTTCTTCAATATCGTAATCTCCCAATTCCGATTGCACTAAATATGAGCCTAAGAGTGCATGAGTAACAAAAGAACATGGCAACCTATAAAATGAATTAACAATTTATCAAGTTTTTACATATACAACATTTATATTAAATTAATCAACATTATTCAAAAATTTTTCTTATTTTAACTTCATCAGTAATGAAGCAAGAAAAAATAACTAAAAATAGGCTGATTGCATAATTATTTAAAAGAACAATTCTTGATAACTTAATACAAAATTGTTTTAGGATCTTGTGTCATTCAGTAAATAAATTAATAGATATGCATTATTTAAAAATTCATACTTCAATATACTAACTTTCCATTTAAAATATCATTTCTTATTTGCAAACATAATTGATATCGAGTAATATCCTCTTGTAGTTGATTAGGGTCAGGTGGATAAAATTTCATTTCAAAATTTAACAACCATGGTTCACCTTAATTAGATAAAGCCAATTAAAACCAACTAAAAAAGTTTTAAAGAATAATTCTAGTACTTTTTAAAAATTTCCCAACTCGTTTATCCATTTCAAGCCAATTATGGGGATCTCGTCTATTTTCATATGATAATCCAAAATAATCTTTCTCTAGAAGATTAAGTTGATCACATACTATTTCTATAAGTTCTTCGCCTTTTACTTTTCTCTAAAAATGAATACATAAGTAAATAAGACAATTATACTATATAAATAAAAGTCACATATGACATTTAAAGAATATCTTACATTTACTTCAATATCCATATAAGATCCATCTAAAAGAAGGATGTGTGCTAGAGCTGCCTTACCTTTGTGACTCTGTTTCTTTTTTGATGGAGTGTCATTACCATCAAAAAACTCATTTGCCATAACAGTCATTTTAATTATACTAGAAAATGTAATAATTTTAAGTTAAAAACGACTATATTTACAAAAGTAATGGACTTAAATTTTCAAGTACTATTACAATTTAAAAAATATTAATAACACTAAAAATGTATATTCTTTTATTATTCTTCATAACTTATAGAAGTACAAAGATAGTACTAATTAACTGAATATTAGGTTATAAACAATACATGCATGAGAAATTTTTGATCATTTTTAACTTTTAAGTCTTACTTAATTTAAAACAATAAAAATTACTTTTCTATTTTAGAAAACAAAATGACTTTTAATTTTAATATGATAAAAAATTGAATATATTACTAATATTTTATGTTTTTAAAAAATATAATAAATTTTGTAATTGACTAATATGAAGTAATTAATAAACTATTGCAAAAAAAATTAAGCAATTTTTTATAGCTAAATTTTAGAATATTTACTAAATAAAACAAGATATTAGAGATTAAGATTAAGATATTATTAACAAGAGTAGGGAGAAAGGGGTGTAGGAATATATCTTATAAGAATAAAATCAATCACAATAAAATATCCTTATTTATATTAAGATTACAAGTTTTATGATTTATAAGTTTAATATATGTATAAATATTTATTATAGCAATTAAATATAATACGACATTGATATTTAATAATTTATTATTGTATCTTTTAAAGAGAAATGATAAAAAACTATAAAGTAATTATTACTTATATGGCAAACGTATATAAAAATTGAAGGTCTTGAAGCAAAACTTTAAAAAAAATTTGTTTGTTATTTATAAAAAAATTTACGGGTCAATAAGGAATTTTCATCCGAGACCAAAATTTCAAATCTACAGTTAGTTTCGCACATTGCCTAAATAATAAAAAAAACCTTCTAATTAATATAACAAATATTTATATTTAATTATTAGGTTATGTATGAATAATCAATAAATATATTTTAATTAAAAATAAGTTCAAAAAGTACTACTTTTTATATGCATTATTAAGTTTTGAACAACCCCTGTATTAAGGGAAATGGTCCGATTTAAAAAAAAAAAGTATGTCGAATGAAAAAAGTATATGAATATTATTTTTCATGAAAAAATTGTATTGATCCATACATTTTTCAACAAGTTATAGCATAATAAAGTTAAAAATGTAAAATATAAAATCAAGAAATTTAACACAAAAATAGCATTTGGTAGCCATTTTTACCGTGTAGACAAAATAAAGTCCGAAATTTTTTTCTTCTATAATAAAGTATATTACATTAGATTTAATTTAAGATATATATAAAAGTGTCAGTATTTCAAGTATTATAATTTAGAAGTGTAATATATGAATATATGAATATATATATTTATAATATATAAATATATAAAGTAAAATGGTTAGAAAAGAAAAATATAAATAGTATTTATCATAAAAAAATTGTATTGATCCATATATTTTTCAAAAAGTTATAACATTATAAAATTAATAATATAAGAGAGAATTTTGTATACAAAAATCATATTTTTTTTATTAACTTTAATGTCTGTTTTAACCACGAAGACAAAATAAAGTCCGACATTTTTTTTACTTTTTAAAGTACATTACATTAGCTTTAATTTAAGTTATATATAAAAGTGTCAGCATTTAGAAAATACTTTCAAAAGCTGTCATTTTAAATCCCCTCTGTGGGCAGGTAGAGGGTCAGATTTATAAAAAAAATATATAAAATGTTAGGTAAAGACATCATGCATCTATAAAAAAATGTATATAGATTCGACCATTTTTAGAAATTTAATGCAGTTTTAAGTAAAAAAAAATTTTTAAATGTCAAAAATTAGCGATTTTTACATTTGTAATTTTTTGTAAGATTTACTCCATTTACAGGGTACGAGTGAAACGTTTTCAATTTTTGAAGGTAATGTCTTACTAGATGCGATTTGTGATCTTTTGATGTTATGTTCATCAAAATCGGTCCAACGAAAGCTGAGATTGAGCGTTGTATATTGATATTATATTATAATATAGATATTATAGATAAAAAATGTATTGATTTGGTCATTTTTAAAAAAGTTATGGTAGTTTTAAGTAAAAAAAATTTTAAAATGTTGAAAATTAGTGATTTTTAAACTTGTAATGTTTTTTGGAGATTTTCCCCTTTTACAGGGAACGAGGGAAATTTTTTCAATTTTTGAGAGTGATGTCTTCGGCTAGATACAATTTGTGATCTTTTGACGTATCGTTGAAAGAAATCGGATTTTTATAAAACAATCATTATTTAACAAAAAAATAGGGGATAGTATACTTAATAAATCGCACTGTATATCGTTATAAGTTATGAGTCTGGTATTTGATTTTATCTAATACTAAAAATAAAATTGAATTAACATCATAACAACCCAAAGCTCAACTACATTTTTATAATTTTTATCTTGTTTTGTATTGGCCAGATTTTTCATTGGCCGTGTTTTATGATATTTAAGTATGTAGTCCGCAACAACAATTCTAGAGATGGCTCTTTTTAATTTGAAAAAGATGAAATATTTATCCAAAAAAATATTTTACTAACTAGAATAAATATTTTAGTATCGCAAATAGTCCAGAACATATGATAAAATATATCTATAATAAAATCACAAAAGTCCACATATTCGAAATATACTTAAGGTTTACGGTCATTAAATTTCGCTACCTCTTGTAGGTATACCAATAGTTTGTTCAATAAACGTAGAGTTCGTGTGGGATGACAGATAACCAAACAAAAGGAGTGGCGCACTCGCGCACGTGTTTCAAGTCAATAACCGCTTTAATATTTTATGTGGTCTGTATATACAAAGTCGTTAAAACTCGGGTCTCACATTAGACCGACACGAAGTTATAGCATATTGAAGTAGGATAATTGCTAATAATATATACTTTTGAGTACATAATGTAAAATCAATAATCACACTGGTAAAATTTGAGACGGTTGCATTTTACATTTTTAGAAAATATTACGAGTAGAAACTACAAAAATGTACCACCTTACAGTTTAAATTATATTTTGTATTCCTTTGCAATTACATAACTAATATAACGTGAAAAATTAGCGAATATGTTTTTCAATAAGGGAGTTCCATCATTTTGATATCTGTGTTTTCCTGTTTAAGTATAACTATAATATCGATACCAAAAAAATAACGAAAAAAAGACAAGAGAGTTATAACTTTCTAAACTATCATTTATAGTCGAAAATGTATTAAAAAATTAGGAAGCTAATAAAATAAAAATTTTCGAATAACTTCTAATACCTATTTTTAAAAAGATCTTACAATATTTTTGCGTGGAATAAAATTTAAAAAAACCCAGCACAGTGGTGACGTGGCATAGTTGGGTCGAATATAATGATATCTGGCAGTGATTAAAATCACTATATTATAAAATGCTTCGATGCAAATCATTAGATAATGTTTAATTTTAAAAAATTGGTGGATTATTTCAAAAGCTACATGATCTGCTATTTCCTTATTTATATCCTGATTAAGATTAAGTATATTAAATGAAAGAGGGATATAAATATTACTTTTCATAAAAAAATTGTGTTGATCCATACACTTTTCAATAAGCTATAGCACTATCAAGTTAAAAATGTAAAAAATAAAATAGAAAATTTTCATACAAAAATAGCATTCCGTAACTATTTTTACCGTGTAGACAAAATAAAGTCCGAAATTTTTTTCTTCTATAATAAAGTACATTACATTAGCTTTAATTTAAGATATATATAAAAGTGTCAGACTATTCGGAACAATTTCAAAAGTTAAGTTGAAAAAGTTCTACTTTCTATATGCATTTTTCAGATTTGAACCCCCCGTATATAGAAAAATGGTCTGATTTAAAAAAAAATATGTTGAATGAAAGATGTATATAAATATTATTTTTCATGAAAAAATTGTATTGATCCATACATTTTTCAACAAGTTATAGCATAATAAAGTTAAAAATGTAAAATACAAAATCGAAAATTTTCACACAAAAATAGCATTCGGTAGCCATTTTCACCGTGAAGATAAAATAAAGTCCGAAATTTTTTTTTTGCATAATAAAGAACATTACATTAGCTTTAATTTAAGATAAATATAAAAGTGTCAGACCTTCCGGAACATTTTCAAAAGTTAAGTTGAAAATGTTAATTTTTTGTGAAAAAGTTGTCATTTTAAATCCCTCCTTGTGGGCAGGTTAAGGGTTAAATTTATGAAAAAAATATACCAAATGAAAGGTAATGATATTATGCATCCATATAAAAAAGAATTATATTAATATGTTTATTTTTGAAAAAGCTATGGCACTTTTAAGTAAAAAAAATTGAAAAAATTTCGAAAATTAGCGATTTTTAAATTCGTAATTTTTTTGGAGGTTCCCCCCATTTACGGGGAACGAGGGAATTTTTTTCAATTTTTGAGGGTAATGTCTTCGACTAGATACGATTTGTGATCTTTTGACGTATCATTTTAGCTTCGCATCGAAGCTAAAATGTAAAATACAAAATCAAGAAATTTCACACAAAAATAGCATACGGTAGCCATTTTTACCGTGTAGACAAAATAAAGTCCGAAATTTTTTTCTTCTATAATAAAGTATATTACATTAGCTTTAATTTTTTTTAATCATCTAGTCCGCCATACAAACTAATTGCTTATTCATGGTCTAAAGTATAACCTATACAAAGTTCATTTTAATTTATACGTTTATTACTATATGGCAGATTCTGATGTTTTAAAACATCAAAATCGGATATTTTCAAAAATGTCTTTATTTTTATACAAAAATAGCATTCGGTAGCCATTTTCATCGTGAAGACAAAATAAAGTCCAAAATTTTTTTTGTTTCATAATAAAGTACATTACATTAGCTTTGATTATTTTTATTTTATATTGATTTGGTTATTTTTAAAAAATTTATAGCAATTTTAAGTAAAAAAATTGAAAAAATTTCGAAAATTAGCAATTTTTAAATTTGTAATTTTTTTGGAGGTTTCCCCCATCTACGAGGAACGAGGGAAATTTTTTCAATTTTTNCCCCATCTACGAGGAACGAGGGAATTTTTTTTCAATTTTTGAGGGTAATGTCTTCGACTAGATAAGATTTGTGATCTTTTGACGTATCATTGAAAGACATCGGTTTGGTGAGAGCTGAGAAAAAGTGGTAACAGACAAAAAAAAAACACATCATAGTAAAACCAACACCTTCTCAGCTTCGCATCCAAACTAAAAAAAACAACTTTTGACAAAAGTCAAATCCAGGGACGTATTTAGAACTTTTTTAAGAGACAGGTTGGCAACTTAATTCATTTTTGAGATGGTTTTAAAGTAAAACAAACAAAGGAACAAAACTTCAGCGTGTTTGATTAGATAAAAAATAAACACCACTTAGTATATTGTGGGTTATTTTTATAATCCCTCAAGGGGAAACTTAGTGTTACGGGTTTAGCGAACCNGTTATTTTTATAATCCCTCAGGGGGAAACTTAGTGTTACGGGTTTAGCGAACCAGAGGTCCCAAGCGTAGAGAAACTAATGCTCTTATCGCCCAGCACAATGTGTTGCAATAGCTATCCCCATGACCTTATCTAGTTGGTCTTCCAAGTTGGGGGTTTGGCGATGGGCTAACGAACTGTCCAAATAAAAAAAACTACTGTTAAGAAACCGCTTTCTAAGAAGCCTCGGATAACTGTATTACCTGTAAATTTTTTTGGAAATGGAAAACGAAAATGCAATAAGATTAAGATCGCGACTTGGAACGCCCTGAGCTTGTATCGCAATGAATCTTGTCAGAATTAAGCTCATGTATTGAAAGAGTATAATGTAACAATTGCAGCATTACAAGAGGTGAGATGGACTGGTACAGGACGAGTAAGAGTAAACGATTACATAATATACTATAAAGGAATGGACGTCACATATCAATTCGGTACGGGTTTTGCGTTACATAAAGACTACGAGTTTTGCATGAAAGAATTTAACCCAGTGTCTGAATACATATGTACAATACGACTAGACAAAAAACCTCTTAACACATTTATAATTAACATACATACCCTCACTAAATGTAAAGAAGACATTATGAAGGAGGAATTCTATGAAAATGTCACGGAGATATATGATAATGCACATAGAAATACGGTGAGGATTGTCATTGGGGACTTCAATGCTAAAATAGGGAGAGAGATCTCTTTAGATATAAAATTGCCCCATCTAACACTCATAAGCAAAGCAATAATAATAACCAGGAGGTAATAGCTTTTGCAACCCCAAGAAACATGACCATTTTTCCTTATAAGGATATTCACAAATACACATGGAAATCACTTGATGGACACATCTGTAACCAAATTAACTACGTGCTTAATGAAAAAAGATTCAGATCTAGTATTTCGGATGTAAAAAGTTATCGAGGAGCGGACTGCGATTCGGATCATTTTTTGGTCATTGCGAAATCTGACTTAAATCTGAAAAATTAGTCAGCAGAATGCAAAGAACTTTTGGAGAAAGAACGAAGGAGATGCAAACAAGTTATCCAGAGAGAGAAAAGGAAGTGTATAAACAAGCTTTTATACAACACAGAACAAGATTACACACTAGACAGAGTCCGAAATTTTTTTGCAGCAATCAAAAAGCACCAAAAGTTCAACCCAATATTAAAATCTATAAAAGATAAAAACAACAATATTATTGGTCCCACAAATGAAAGCATCTAGATGGCAAGAATATTTTGAAGAATTACTGAATAGGGAGATACCAGATACACCTATACCAGCCTAGGAAGACCAAAGAGTGGAACAAGAAATAAATGAAATAACATTAGATAAAACAAAAAGAGCTATAAACCGGCTTAAGAACTGGAAAGCCCCCTCCAAGTCAGATGGAATACCAGCTGAACTTATAAAATATGGTAAAATAGAACTGCACAAAACGATTTATCAATTGTGCAAACACGTATGGAAAGAAGAAAACTACCTGAAGAATGTAACAAAGCTATAGTAATCCCAGTTTATAAGAAAGGAGACAAGATGAACTGCAATAATTATAGAGGAATATTATTACTGAATACAGTGTATAAGGTATTCTCCAAAATATTACTAGGACGTCTGGAACTACTGGACGAACAATGTATAAGAAGCTATTAGTGTAGATTTTGGAAACATAAATCCGCAATACATCAGCTCATAACAATCAAACAGCTTATGGAAAAGAAGTATGAGTACAGACAAAACAAACGTTTTTAGTAAGTTTAGATAATATTATTTATAAATCTAGAAATAATAATAATTTTTTTTTTTAATATTATTGAATACATTTATTTTGAAAGTATTTAAAAAGTTATACTCAAATATTTGACAGCACTAACTAAAAGACAGTATTAAAATAAGATCTTGAACTCATTAGCTAGTTTTTTACAATTGCAATGATTACTTCAGTTTATATTAGAACACTTTTGAAATATCTAAAATATTTTATTATGATTAACATGTTTATGATTGATGCCAAAAATGTATTTATTTTAATCAAATTTGTTTAGTATAGATATAGAAAAATATAACTTTTAGATTTAAACATACTATTAACAAATAAGTGCACAAAAACTTTTTTGTTTATGTTCCATACAGAAACCCTAAAAAATTATAATATAGAATATCTCTGTTACATAATATGATTACAATATTTTTGGTTTAATTTTTTAGTTTTAAATATACATGAGTTATTGTTTTCATTGTGAGAATTATAAGGTTAAAAATTGAATAATATTCACATACTTTAAATCATTCATATCCCAGTAATCTATAAATCACGAACTACTTGGTTACTCATAAAATAATAATAATAATAATTTTTTCTGTATTTTAGTTACATATAATTCTCAATTTATCCATTGTTAAGTATTTGTTTGGTTCATCTTTTATGCGTTATAGGGGTATCGGGTTTTTTTTAATGGAAACAAGCCTATTTAAATAACTTATTAAATAAAATGATTTTATTAATGTTAAGTGATTAATTTAAAGTAGAAAAGATTTTATATTTTTAATTAATATTAAACTACTAGTATTTAAAATAGTTTTAGTCAACATTTCTAAAACAGAAAAATTATTACTTCAAAATATTTTACAGAAAGAAAAACATTATTTAAATAAGACATAAGTAGTATTAAATGTATTCTATAAAAGAATAAATAAATATTTTAAATAAGTAAGATAAAATTTATGAGTAATAATAGAAATAAAAATAACTTTCATACGCCCAACGAACGTAAAGTAATAAAATGTGCAAAATATGTGTAGAACGTAAATGATTTAACCCAGATCTTTAAACATAATAAAAAAACATCGATAATTATTAAATAAAAAATTGCTTACCTATGGGTATAAAGAAGATCACTTTAACACTGAATTCCTACGATCAATGAATAAAATTGATGATACTATAATGTGTACACAAATAAAACGTTACACTCACCTCAATGAGTCACGGACGTACAACTGGACAAAATATGAACGTAAACAACTACTATTTACAAAACATTTTTTTCTAAACAACAGGCTACATTGATATAGGCGTTGAATAAGTTAGGCAAATATTTTTAACATACAGTGTTACCAATATATTCACATAAATGTGAAAATGTTAAAGGCCACTGATAGTTCTTTCAAAAATAGATAAGATCTTATCAATTTCATAGTCTTTCATCAAAAGTTCTTTAATTATATATTATTATACGTTTTATATACCGGTATATTCAAGGATTCTAATTACGAATAGACGTAAAGAAACTCAAAGCATTTACCTTTCACTGCGCTTAAAAAGTACCTCTTTTGAGGTTCTTTGAAATTTTATGAATAGATTACATGAGACAATTAAGATAAAATTGAGATAATTTATCTTAATCTGGATATAAATAAGAAAATAGCAGATCATGTAGCTTTTGAAATAATCCACTAATTTTTTAAAATTAAACATTATCTAATGATTTGCATCGAAGCATTTTTTATGATAGTGATTTTAATCATTGTCAGATATCATTATACTTGACCCAACTATTCACGTCACCACTGTGCATCGACCCTCCTGTGCTGGGTTTTTAAAGTAAAATTTTCTAAGAAAAAATAAAGACATTTTTGAAAATATCCGATTTTCATGTTTTAAAACATCATTATGCCGTATAGTATTAAACGTATAAATTAAAATGAAATTTGTATAGGTTATACTTGAGACCACGAATAAGCAATTAGTTTGTATGGCGGGTTAGATGGTTAAAAAAAATTTTTTACAGGCCCAAGAAATAAAAAATAATGTCAATAAAATTATTAAAATTTTAAATAGGTATATAAACTTAAATTGATCTAATTTTAATGTATAAAAAAACATGCAATTTCAAAAAAACGGGCATCGTTTTTTCTTTTGCTTTTGATACTCTTCAATAATATCCAATATGTAAATAATATATAAATTACAAATAGACAATTTTTTCTGGATATACAGGGATAGTAATGGAAATAACTAATTTTAGTATTAATTATATTTAGTGGGCCAATTTCATCAATAACTTAATTAATTTTAATGTTTTACTTTAACTAAAAAAAACAACTCAATTCAAAATCTACTCAATTGAGCGTATTATAAAATTTGATTACTATTTTAAAAATTAATTTTTTTTAGAAATGATTTATATAGTAATATGTTAACTAAAAATTTGGATTATTATAGACTGGTCTAGTACTCATATAAATAGAGTTTAAAAATTAATACAATAAAAATGTATTTAATTTTGTAGTTGAAACCTATATTATATCAAACCTACTTCGACAATAAAATCTTTTAAAATATTAAAAATGAATAATTTTAATTTTCTGTACGGAGAAAGTTGGTTAAGCAACTTTTTTGTTAAATTGGATTAAGGGGATATTTTTTCAATTTTTGAGGGTTTGATATCACCCTCAAAAATTAATAATAGTTGTGATCATTGACGTAGCGTTAAAAAAAATTGGTCAAGTGAGAGCTGAGATTAAATAACAGCTACAAAAATAAAAAATCACATAGTATAATTATTTTAATATGAATAAGAAATTTCTTCTCACGAGGGGAGATTACAGTAATAGGTACCTTGATATTCATTACAGTTATTGAATCTAAATAAGAAATCAAATGAGTTAAAATCTTTTGTAAGATATTTTAAAATAAAATGAAATACAAACCTAGAATTATAACAAAAAAATAGTAAATTTTTGAATATGGTATATATTATTATATATATATTTTAATATGGTATATAAAATTATATGTAATACAATTTTTCACTATGGAGACAAACTAAAGTTCGAAATTTTTTTTACATTTTAAAGTATATTACATAAGCTATAATATAAGATATATATAAAAATGTCAGTATTTCCGAAACACTTTCAATAATGAAGTTGAAAAAGTTATCACTTTGAATCCCCCATTGTGGGCAAGTAAACAGTTAAATTTATAAAAAAAATATACCAAATGATAGGTAAAGACATCAAGCATCTATAATAAAAAAATGTATTGATTTGGTCATTTATAAAAAAGTTATGGCAGTTTTAAGTAAAAAAATTGAAAAAAAGTCGAAAATTATCGATTTTTAAATTTGTTTTTTTTGGAGATTTTCCTCTTTTACAGGGAACGAGGGAAACTTTTTCAATTTTTGAGGGTGATGTCTTCGAATAGATACAATTTTTGATCTTTTGACATATTGTTGAAAGAAATCGGTTCAGTGAGATCTGAGAATAAGTGGTAACAGACACAAAAAAAAAAAAAAAAACATAGTAAAACCAACACCTTCTCAGCTTCGCATCGAAGTCATTCAGCGAAAAATGAAGCGACAATATTACACATATGTACTGAATTTCAATAAACACAAATACATTAAGTAGATGTTCTTTTTTATATATTTATGAAATACATATTAAACATTTATAAAAAAAATAGTTCTTAAATAACACAATTATCATATATTGCACTTATAACATGCATTATTACATAAAAAAACAATTTGTCCATTGTTGAAATAATTAGACAACATAAACTACAAATAATAATAATCACAAACTTTATAATAATTTAAATGAATAGAAAATGTATTTAAATCAAATGTTTAAAATAAAAGCTATTGTGAAGAGTTAAATTAATAGAAATAATTTTTTTGTTTATGAGGCTGAAGGTTTTGAAGTTTCATTTTCTAAAACATCTGATGTAGTGTCACTTAATAATTTTTTTAAGTCCATAGATTTTGGTAATTCAATTTGGGATGTACCTTTCAAAATAACACAAATATTTTAAAATTAAAAGAGATTCATATGAATGGTATTTATTAAATGTAGCCACAAGTTTTTATTTTATTTCATCACAGCATAAAAAGATGTGCCATTTTTCTGTTTATTTATTATTTTTTACTAATATAATAGTATGAATTTGTCTTATCATATCATTTCACAAAAATTTTAAATAAAAAAAAAAAAATCGTAAGTGGTAAAATAAGTCAACAATAAAAGTATTATAATGTTATTGAATAATTAACATAAATATTTCTATAAGCACTTTACCAGCTTGAGCCATGAATAATTCTTTTAAAAATCCCAATTCTTTACTCAATAGTTTAATTTTTTCTTCCAGCATGTCATTTTCAGTTTTTAATTGATTTACACGTTGTAATGTTTGTTGTGTCCGCATTCTACTTTTTACCCGACTTCTTTTAACAGCCTTAAAACATTAAAAAGAACATTACTCATTGATATAAAATATAATTCACATTACAATAATTTATTCCCGTTTTTTATTTAACCTTTGAATAGTACATTTTTTAAACTAGTAAATTAAGTGACATAAATGTCACTTAATAAAGTTTTAACTAACGTCAATTTTTATTTTTCTGTAAGAGGAAAAAATTAATTTTCAAATAGTATAGAATAAAAGTTATATTATATAATATATAATATTATAATATTTAAATTGAAATATTAGAATTTGTTTCTTGTAGAAAAATGTTATTTTATTTATATTGTATAAATACTTGATTGTTTTTGTCTCGTTTGCGACGATAATCATCTTCACTACTGTCTGCATCATCTTTTAATACAGATGATAACGCCATACTTTTATTTTCTTTATTTTTACGAGCCATGCAGTGTGTAACATATACTTAAACAGTCCTAAAATGTATGTTAAAATGTTTTATTAACACTAATTTTTTTTAAGATGTTGTGTAATGAATTATTGATTAAGAAAATGAGCAATTATTACAATTTCGAGGACACAAAAAAACTTGCACATAATTCTAGGACGCTAATGTCTACTGTTTATTAATTATTGGGTCATTGACAATATAAAAGATATCAGCGAAATTTAGATTATTGTACCTATTGCAGCAATAAGGGTAACAAGGACGACATGCTAACCCAACACTTAAAGGATAAATACTTACAAAATAAAAAATTGCAGTGAGATAATAAGAATTCAGATTAAGAGAAATTCAATTTGTTATTTTGCAATATGTTTAATTAACTTATAATTAAGAATATTTGTAAATGGATAAAGTTATCTTATCATTATTGAAATTGTTTATTTTTTTTTTCACTATTTAAGTAATGTAACTTTATGACCTACTACACATCAATTTTGTTAACGAGACTGGTGTAGGAGGTTATAGAGTAGGACATTTGAATCTAGTGACCTTGAATATTTTTGAGTCGTGTATTTTTTGAGTGATGTTACAATTTTGTCGAAAAACGTTTTCTTACATATTTCTAAAAATATACCAATTGAACTATTTAATAAAACTTGTCGAATTGCTAAATTATTAAATTTATTCAGATTTTTGAGATGTAATCTAATATCGCTGAAATATTGATTCTACAGGTAGAAATATCTTTAAATATCAAGCGAGTCATCGGCTTAAGTATAAGGACTATGGTGTTTTATCAAAGTAAAATTGAAATATTATTTATTATATTATATAATAATATTATTCATAAATATTTTAAACATTAACATACTTACTACAGACATTGCATATTACAATATACTATGTTTATGCTACATTTACTGCCGCATGAACGATCATAATGATTTTAGTATTCCTTTAAATAGAACTATAATCTCATTGGGTACATGACAGTTGATCTTATATTTTAAAATACCTAATACTTATTATCAGTAAACTATTGGAATTAGCCGACTAATCGCGATCTACGTTAAGGCAATGTTAATTTCATAATTAAATATTTATTTATAAAATAATTAAAGGGTAACCGTCTAAACTCAGAAAAAATAAATTAATTTGTGTTTAATTTATTTACTATAGAGCAGTTGTCGCTCTTTATAGTATCTTAGACAAGTTTATATAATTATTTTTTTACATTTAATGATGTTAGTTTATTGTTAGTGCTATGGAAGGTATTTAATTTACAATATAATTGTAAATTTTTTTGATTTTAAAATGTTCTTAAAAAATTTGGGGCAAAAACTTTGTAAATCTGTTAAATGTCGATATCAAACATATAGGTTTGTGGGTGCTTATGATAATGATGGTAAAACACATGTAACTATGATGAATAACAATAATATCAAAGATGGAATCATGATTTCTGGTTATAGTCAGTTTGGATTTCGATTAAATAACAATTTTCAAGTATTAGGACCAATTTTGTGCTTTCCAAATTCAATATTAGCATGGTATATTGATAGCGATAAAGATATTAATGAAGATTCTTTATCATTGTTATTTCATTTAGAACCAATGCCCAGTGTAGTTGTATTGGGTATTGGTGACAATATGTATAGGAAATCAATTGATAAAGTGGTATGGAGTGTTACTAAAAAATATAATTGCAACATAGAAGTACTACCGATTGATGCAGCTTTGGCAACATATAATTTTATTGTGAGTGAACAGCGTCATGTAGTTGGAGCTTTCATACCTCCAAAAAATATTCCTGTAATTGATGATGATATTATATCAGCAAATGCCAGGCACAAAGTAATTTATGGAAAACAAGTAAATCAGGATGACATATGGGTTAATGAAGAGGAACAAAGTGAAATTATTAGTAAAAATTATAAAGAATTTGCAGAAACTGTAGCAGCTGAAAAAGCTGCTAAAATTGAAACTTCAGCAAAGTATACAAACCAGCCTAAAGATCCTAAAAAACTAGAATAACATTTTTATTATAATAAAGAAAAAATAGATACTTTATTGTCATAATACATTTTGATATTTGTAGTTAAAATAATAAAAACTTGTTATTTATATTAGTACCATGTTTTACTAAATAAATTGTATTTTTTAGAAAATTTAATCAAACTTTTTATTGTTGGAATATTATGGGGTGGATCAAATCCATTTTTGAAACAAGCTACAAATAAAAAAAATAAAAATGTTAGTATAATATATGAACTTTATGGTTATTTGAGCAATTGGAAAGTAAGCATTAGCTTTATGTGTAGTAATTTCGTTTTTTTTTTTAATTTTGTTTTATCTTGATAGTACATTTTGGCTTTTATCGCCAACCAAAGTGGTTCATTATTATTTTACTACTCATTAAGAGATTCAGGTAAAACATTGTTGACTTAAAATACTTTGACAATCAAATACTAATTTATTTATTTTTAGACATATCTATGGCTATTCCAATAGCTAATGGAATATCATTATTAAGTACATCAGTTATAGGTACAATAATTGGAGAGGAAAAGCCAAAAATAAGTATGATTATGAGAGACTAATTCTTAATAATTTATTAGTAATTAAATTATTTATTTTTTTTATTTAACAATTTACTTAGTAAATACAAATAAGCATACTTTCTTATAGAATTGGTAATTCATCACTTTACAAAAAGAACGACTTCAAATTACAATAAATATTTAAAAGAAAAACTTATTTAGTAGGCATCATTTAATTAAATAAAACATATAAAATCAGTATTTAATTTAAAGATAGAATGTGCTTTCAGTTTTAAAGTATTAATATTTTATAACATGTTATATAATATTAAACATCTACCAATTATTAGAAAATAAATTTTTGGCAATTTGTGTTGAAAGAATAACCATATATTTGGTTATACGATAGTTTTCGATTTTTAAACTAATTATTTAATTATAACTATCAGTTATGATCACCTCAGTTGAGGTTATGACAATCTAAATATTGAGTAGTTCATTGAGATGTCACTATAAAATAAGTGAAAATTTACTTTTTAATAGATATTTAAATTTTACTCAGTTTAGAATTATGTTAAATTGTCAATAGTAAAATTAAGATGATCTAAATATGAGGAGTGTATTGTTTTTTTAATAGAAAATAATAAATGCATATATTATACAAGTTTAAGGCATATCTGTTGGAGGGACTACTAATTTTTATAATATATCTGTTCGATAATAACAATTTTGACTATTGATCTGTAGTCTAGAGATCAAGTATACACATAGTATTTTTCTGAAAAATTATATTATTTATTATTTCTTTAGTGTACTTTTAAAAATTATCTGGATATAATGTATGTTAAATTGTATAGGCTTTCTGTCTTTTTTAATACAAACAGTTGCTTATGAGGATATTAAATACAAATTCTTATAATATATTTATATTACTATGCATTATATACTAACTAAATATAATTTAAGCTGTTTATTTTTTAGAAACTATGATTGGTGTATTGTTGCTGATACTTGGTATATTATGTTTAATACAAGATGATATGAAAAAATAAGTAAAATACAACAGTTGTATTATAGTTATTATAATTTAAGGAAAACACTTGTTAACTTTATTTTTTTATTTATTTTTTTATTAAAAATGTTTCTAAATACATTAAGAAATTTGACTAGTGTTATAATATTTATAGTCATCATATATAAACACAAAAACATGTTACAATACTAAAGAAATTAAATATGGTATATTAAATCACACGAATAACACAATTTAAAATAAAAATAAACATATATCAGTCTACAGCACTCCTACTAGGAATTTAAATTTACTAATCAGTTTATTATTTATGTGTATTTTTTATTAATTAAAATAAATACTCAAGTTAAAAACTGCTTTTAATTTTAAAAGAGCTCGGGGCAAAGATGCTGTTGCACCTTCAAAAATGTAAAAATTTATAATTACTATAATATACAACATTTTTAAAGTAGGAAAAATTTTTTATTTAGAACCCTAAAATAAATTTTATTATAGTTCTGTTTGGATACTAACATTTTTAATACAAATTAAATTATTCAAATTAGGTTTAAAAAAATTATAAAATAATTTTTAATAGTGTATTACTTAAGGATCTTAGAATTTATATTCCTTGCAGACTTAACTAAATATCTAAATATATTAGATTTAAAATAAACAGTTTTTTTGTATTAAGGAACATATAAATAATTTAAATAGGTGGGTACTTTAACAAATATCTTTTACTATCATTTTCAAATTTAAAATAATAAAATAAACATAGTTTATATCACACTATAAACAGTGCTCATATAATGATTTTAAGCATGAATAGTTCAAATGAATACACACAAATTCTTTGCAGTCAATTTATTGTAGTCGAAATTCATCGCACGTCATTTCATCATCAAATATTATTAAATCAGAATAATTATATAAAGTTTTCACATAAAACACTAATTTCAATCAAAACGATTGTTACTTACAATGAGAATATTTTTTAAATTTAGATAGCTATTATAGCAAAGCATATCCATTCCTTTCATAATTTTCAAATTTCATAGTATTATAATTTAATAAAAACGTATAACAAAAGAAAATGCACTAAAATCAATTTGATGGTTATCAAAAAACTGAGACTATTGAAAAGCCACATATATGATACTTAATAAGTTGATGGGCGATTTATTTTTACCGCAATAAATTGACATGTCACTATTCAAAATACTAAATTAAAAATAATAATAATTTATGCATTAAATATAATAGTTGTAACTAAATTTTAATAATAAAAAAAAAAAAATGAAATGATAATAGATTATTTTATATTAAATAAGGTAATATTTATGATAGTTGATATAAGGTTTGGGAAAAAAATTGAGAAGAAATATATGAAAGTTATGAATTTGCACATTGAACTCATGGGTATAAACATACCATTATTGCTTTATAAAATTCAGTAGGTAAAGAACAGTTGAGCTTCATTAGCATTTTAAATAATAAATTCTTAAATATAATTTCAATATACATATAATAATATCTAACCAATCTGACTATAAATATACATACTTCATATACAGTGTTCAAAAAGTTAGGAAATATGTAAATTGTTACAAACAATGAGAATAATAGAAACCGTTTCCTTATTTACTGAAAACTTATATAATAAATAAGAAATATAAGAAATGTCACTATATTTAGTTTGAACAAACTTAATGACAATATAAAAAAAAAAATGCAATAATTCAATATTTAAGAGAAAAAAATAATTTTCATAAGATAAATTATTGGTAATCAGTTAGAAGACGCTCAGAATGCAAGATGATAAGTGACATTTCACCAAAATTTTATTCACTATAAATCACCTTAAATTTAATCTAAAATGACAAAAAATTGGTTTTAGTAATTTAATAAATTAATAAAGTACAACAAAAATTCTAAAGTTCAAACATCGTAGCTGATTAAAAAAAAAAAAATTGTTTTAATTAAAAAATCAATTTGATTTAACTTAACATATATAAATACATTTTTATTATAAAAAAATAATAAAATAATCTTATTTTAGTTGAATTGAACTAGATTAGTAAAAAAAAGTAAATACTGAATATGTTGAATTTATAAAAAAGTTTTTAAACAGTAATTACTGTCTCTTCAGCAATAAGTTTTCTAAGAGTATATGTGTCATTTATCTACTAATTTTAGTTGAATGGGACAAAAATATCAAGAATAGAAGTTAACTGAAAGTACCTGATTACATAAATATTATACAACTAAAAGAAACAAGACAATATGAAAACATTGATGGTTTTTACAATTGTTAAAAATGTTTAATGGTTCGTTTTATAGAACATTTAAAAATAAAAAAAAAAACGTTATAAGCGTGAAGATGTTTCTATAAAAATTTCTTATATTATTAAAAATAGTGATAAATTAAAATTGTGTTAAGAGTCTTTAGAAGGACTACACAAAAGAAAATCTTATTTAGTAGTTGAAAAGTAAAAGGTATTTAAAAACATTTAAGAAATTGAAACACCCGAAGAAAATTAATTGCAAATTTTTCACTCAGTACTGAAAAGATTTGAATATTCAGTGAACAATATCACAGAAATAAATTTAAATACAAAAAGTAAATTAAATAAAATTTTCTACAAACCAGTTAAACAAAAAGTATTTAGTTTTTTTGCTGACAGCTTGAACAATTTTCAAGTAAATACTGAACCATCTACCAGGCACACATTAAAATTAATAAAATTTTTAAATGAAAGTAAAAAGTTTTTTTCAAAGAATTATAAAGAATATATGTCTGAAAAAAGTAATGTTCTACAAAGTTATTTTAAGTCTAATATATATTATTTTGATGTCAATGTATCCTAAAGTAAAGAAAATAAATGACTGTTATTCATGCTGATGCAGAAGAACTATTATTATGTATCATAGATATATGATACAAATAAAAGTTATAATTGATAGAAGCGAAGACTTTTTAAATTTCCATGTCATATACCAAACAATGAAACAAATGAATAAAATGATTATGAACCATTAAAGAAAAAAAGAAAGCTCTACTCAGAAGGCGAAAATATAGGTCAGAAATATAATATTACAAGTGTTTAATATGTGAATGATCATGTTATGTATTGTACCAGACATTAAGGAAACGTATGATAATATAAAGCTATTATTCACTTTGATAAATATTAATAATATATCATTCAAATTGTCAACTAATAGGTACATTAACATACTCTTGTTGTTACATAACATTGAGTAATTTACGTAATAGGAATAGCGATAGTGTTGATTGCAATTACAATAGTACAAAATATATTGAAAATAATGAAAAATAATGTGAATATACACATTTAAAAACTTATAGAGATACAAAATTAGATTACAACAAATTTTGTTCTATGAAAAAAAAAAAAAATTAAGCAAAATTTTGTCACAGTACTATTAATTTAACAATGATAAAGATGAAATTACTTGTGCGATTGAAAAGTGTTTTGTCATTCCTCAATTACATGTTTTACATGGTTTTGTAAATCATATATTTTTTTATTTTTATTTTCTTTTATGGAAGAAAAAAGCACTGTTATGGCCAACTAATTTAAAACTTGTATCAAAAAATATCAAGCTGAACTTTTTGAGGGAAACGCTTGCAGAAAACCATTAAGAGAAGCTGATAACTTAATGCACTGGGATATTAACAAAAATATCATAAAATTTAATAATTGTTTTATGTAGATGTTTTTAATGCAGAGTGTTTAATTTAAATTTAAATTTAAAAATAAAAATATATAAAGAAATTCAACAGTTAGAATCTCGTAAAATCTATGTTTTTTCAAACATAACAAACAATCTTTAAGTTATTTATAAAGCAGTAAATTGGGTATTTGGTCTAAACAGTCTAAGCAAATGAATCAATACACATAATTTCTTAAATTCTGAGTTAAGTATAAAATTAACTTAATTAAAAATTTTTAAATCCTGAAAGATTTTAAGTGATTATGATTGAATTTTTATCTAGTTTACATTTAATATCATTCAAAAACTGATTTTTTTATGAAAAATTGTTATAGAAATTGATATAGTGATTAAAATTAATTATTTCCTTATACAAAAATTTATTTATACATGTGAAGGTAAAATAAATCAATTTTAATTAAAATAATTTATTTTCTAAAAAAAAAAACAGCTGATTTCCACTCTTAAGTATCCTTATTGTACTCGTTTTAAGGAATAAAATTATTAAAACCAATTTTTTTTATCATTTTAGATCAACTTTGAGTTGGTTCAGGCACATTGTGTATATTATAATTAAAATTATTTATTGCTGAAAAACCTTAATATATTTATGTATAGGAACTCTATGTTACATAGATTTCATTAATTCTTTGGATAATTCATTGGTATAAATATAATTTTTTTAAAGTTGATTTAAGTAGTATTACATAAATATGTGTAATTAGGTAAAATAAAAAATTATTAGGAGACCTGTACTAAAATGTAATATTATATTAACCCATTTTTTTTATACTATTTTAATAATTAAAAATGAAATATTTTAAGTTGATAAGCTATTATTTACACTAAAATAATAGTGTATTATTTTATATAATTAAATAGTAGTAATGTACGACATAAATGTATGTACAAATAATAATTACTTTACTAAGTTTTTAACTATGACATCTCTACTACTTTCTTTTTTAATTCTAATTATACAAGAACCTCCATTACATTTTTTAAAATGTGCATCACATTCGTCTTTGTTTATCATTTTTAAACATTTACTACATTTATGAACAGCAATTACCTTATGTCTTTTTGCCATATGACTGCGTAATTTCAACTCGTACACAAATTTCATATTACAATAGCCGCATTCAATTTTATCTAATATATGTTTATCTTCAACATGAGCCATAGCTTTTTTAGTAGTTTTAAAATCAATATTACATAATATACAAATTACTTTAGTAATATGACCTTTGCTTACAATATGAACATAAGACTTTATTCGATTTATAAGTGTATCTTTTTTTAAATCAGGTAAAAGTGTTAAATCTACTTTATTTGACAATGGTTCAAGATTTTCAACAATTTTTTTTACTTTTATATCTTTAGAAACTCTTTTTTTTCTTCCTGATTTATTAGTTGTTTCTATAATTGAATTTTTTTTTTCATTATGCACTTCTTTGTGATCAGAGTTAATATGACAAATTAACCCGATGTTATGGCGAAATATTTGACCACATATTAAACAAGGATGTTCAGGTTCTATTTCATCAACAAGCATTTGACGTAATGATGGTATAGATTTGTTAATTGTATTTGAAACACAGGATACTGAAGATAACTTAGGACTTAATGGTATAGCTTCAGGAACAGGAACTTTATCTAATGTGTACTTTTCTAGTTTTCTTTCATAAGTACAATCAAGTTCTGAATCAACTTCAATGTTTCTCTCATTAATGCCTAACATATTTGTACTACAGCTTCCTTGATAAGTACTTATATGATCATACAGAGAAATTTTATCATAAAATAACTTGGAGCAGAATGAACAAGTATGGGATGAATCATCATCAAATGAAGAACATTTAGAACTTGAAGAAGAAATAACTTCAACATCATTATTGAAATTTATGTTGTCCAATTTTTCAGTATCAGAGTCATCAGATAGTTCAATAGTTTCAAAATCTTCATTTTGCTCATCAATAATCAATGTACCATCAGAACTATCTTCATTATGAAAATAAGCCATACTTCTAAAAATAATATTATAATTGAATTATTTAATATAAAGTTTTGTATAATAGGTAAATGAGCAATATAAAATTGTTGACAGTATCACTATTAATTGATTTTGATTTCTGAATTATATTAACACAATTATTTTATGATTTATTATTCAAATACAAAAATTGAGAAAATGATTTGTTATGGAAAGTAGCTTAAGTGAGACATTACAACTTTTACATCATCTATATTTTGTACTAACAATATTTATTTTGTTCAAAATAATGAAATAACAATTTATATATAGAATTATATAAATTTTTGATAATATTACCAGTTATAACATTTACATCTAACAATATATAAAGTCTAAGGATCATCTAAGACCATATTCAATAAGTATTTTACTTATTAAAAATCACGAATATCTTTCATTTGTTACATATTGGCAGTATTTTATTTAGTGAATACTGTTGAAAAGAAACCAGTATTTCATAAAATTTTATATTAATCAGAATTAGTTAATTTGTGAATTTAGCTATTTTTTTAATTAAAATTTTTAAATTAGATATACATGAAAAGAAGGTATATAGCAAATATATACTTACTAACCTATAAATTAATTCTTTTATATATTTTTGTTTTATGGTCATTTCAAAAAACAATAATTTATATTGAAAAAAAAACTAATAACAAAATTCATGATTATGATATGCGTTTCAGTCAAAAGTTCATTATTTATTTGAATATCTCACAGAATAAAATAAAATAAGAACTAGCTAATGTTTAAAGTAAAAATTACATAAGTGATTTTTTCAAAAATTAATAATCATTTAACACTGAATTTTGTAAATAAATTTTCCTTAATTAATGACGGAACAAAATTAAATATTTAATTTGTAAGTATTTAATAATTGTTATTCTACAACAATTTATAACAATAATCAAGTCTTTTGAATTGAGGTTATTCGACCGTATGTTTATACTAAACAAGATAATACGTTATCTTAAAATACATAATTTAAATACTACAATGTACCAGAAATTATATTTTCTTTGGCCCTTACAAAATGTACTCACATTTATTTAAGAAAACCTTAATTATATTAGAATATATTATTAAAATATAATATTAGAATTATTCTTGATTCATCTTAATTAATAAAATTTATATTTTCATGAGTTAAAGCCTTTAAATTTTATTTAAAGTAAAGTATTACATTTTTACAGAAATTTATTTTCGCGCCAATTAATAGGTATTTTATTATGATAAACAGGTATCTCGAGTTAAATCTCTAATTACTATATTGTCAGAATAAATGTATTTTTTTTTTGCATATTGAAGTATTTTTGTTAAATTTTAAATTTATCTGAATTAAAATATACTCCTTATATTGTAAAGCATCATTTAATTAACGGGTCATAAATGTAAGTAGCTTATTTTACAGAATAAGGTATAATAACTTGATAACTTTAAGTGCCAATTTCTTATGAACAAGTATATAATAATGTTATTTTCAATAATATTTTTTTTGAAATATAACTCGGAAATTTGTTCATTTACTTAAAAGTTATTCATACCATAAAAATATTCCTTACTTAAAGTATCTAGTACTGTTGCATATTTAACACCAAAGAAATATTTTTGTTCATTCAAATTGCCAATAACAGTTTTAGCGTGGAAGTTGTCACAGTTCTCTAAATGTTGATAAATTTATAATAATTCTATTAATGCTTTTTTTAGATTAAATATCAGTTGGTAAATTTTAGTGCCAGTTTTTGCTTTGAACTACCTATGACTATCTGTCAAAGGTAGTTCTTTAATTCAGCTTAAAAGTTAATCTGCTGACATTTATTAATAATATTACATTATAAGGCAATATAGGGTGATTCTTTTAATGCTAGTAACTTGATTTCTCATAAAATGTTTTTTGGATTTTGTTAGTTACATATGTCCTTATTTATTTGTTATAAAATAATTTTTAGGTCAATCCCTTTTATATTGAAGGAGTGTCAACTTAATTTTTTAAATATCAACATGCGTTTTAACTAGCTCATAAAATAAAAAATGATAAAATTAAGAAAAGAACTAGCCGAAAACAATTTATAAAATAGTACTTCAGAAGTAATTAACATTTTAATATGTATTGGAGATGAAGTGTGAATAGTGCTCTATTTATCAAAACAATCGAGTAAAATAATTAACTTGAATATTTATAGGATTGCCTATCTGTATTATCAACATGCTTATTAATTAGCTGTTTCTAAATACCCAATTTATCATCAAAGCCAGCATCAATCCTATTATACAGAATGTTAGTAAATGCTATGTCACGAGTAGTAGGATGATATTCAGTAGGACATAAAAATAGCGAAATCGAAAACTAAAATTTCCTATCTCCGAAATTGGGGGTTTTCCGGTTTCCCCACTTTAAATTTTATTTTAATTAAAAATAAACATCACAACAGTATTTCACACGAAATTGTCATACAAATTGAGTGGTCACTCGATTTGTTGTAACTTTCGTGTCCTCCCCTGAACTTTGGGTTTAAAGTTGGAAAAAAATTCACTTTAGTGTGATCCATCAATTTGTATTGAAATTTTACTGGGAGTTCTGTGATGCAGTTTATTTTTAGTTTAAACGATTACATAACGAGAAAAACCCACAGATGTGATATTTTTTTAATTTCACGAGTCTTATTATTTATTCAAACCGATTATAATTTTTATCATTAAAACTTATAAAATTATCATTTTTTTTCTTTTTAGATCGGAAAAATAAAACAATCGCAAGATTGAAATGAATATTTTAAACTTTATTACAATAGGATAATTAGAAATAATTATTATGATGTAATCGTCACACTACTCTTTCAAGAAATTAATCACTAATGAGAATATAGTACATCACTTAGCTTGTTAATATTTATTTAAATATTCGAAAAATACTGTTCACTATTGAATAGTCACTAATTAAGTTGCAAAAAATATTAGATTATTTTTAAAATATAGCTTCTTTTTTATGCAATAAAAATGCATAAATTGCAGTAAAAAAGAATAATCTATAGTAAACAAATAGCCTGTATTGTAAAACGTTTAAATGTGCGTCACTTGCTAAAAATGTAATGTAATTTACACTTTTTCATTTACAAAACGACCATTTATTTCAAGTTTTTTGTTATAAAAATTTAAGTAAACTAATCTTATAAACAGTATTTCTTTTTTTTTTTTATTTAAAAGACAGTACATCGAAAATTACATTACATTTTTAGCAAGTGACGCACATTAAAAACGTTTTACAATACAGGCTATTTGTTTACTATAGATTATTCTTTTTTACTGCAATTTATGCATTTTTATTGCATAAAAAAGAAGCTATATTTTAAAAATAATCTAATATTTTTTGCAACTTAATTAGTGACTATTCAATAGTGAACAGTATTTTTCGAATATTTAAATAAATATTAACAAGCTAAGTGATGTACTATATTCTCATTAGTGATTAATTTCGGGAAAGAGTAGTGTGACGATTACATCATAATAATTATTTCTAATTATCCTATTGTAATAAAGTTTAAAATATTCATTTCAATCTTGCGATTGTTTTATTTTTCCGATCTAAAAAGAAAAAAAATGATAATTTTATAAGTTTTAATGATAAAAATTATAATCGGTTTGAATAAATAATAAGACTCGTGAAATTAAAAAAATATCACATCTGTGGGTTTTTCTCGTTATGTAATCGTTTAAACTAAAAATAAACTGCATCACAGAACTCCCAGTAAAATTTCAATACAAATTGATGGATCACACTAAAGTGAATTTTTTTTCCAACTTTAAACCCAAAGTTCAGGGGAGGACACGAAAGTTACAACAAATCGAGTGACCACTCAATTTGTATGACAATTTCGTGTGAAATACTGTTGTGATGTTTATTTTTAATTAAAATAAAATTTAAAGTGGGGAAACCGGAAAACCCCCAATTTCGGAGATAGGAAATTTTAGTTTTCGATTTCGCTATTTTTATGTCCTACTGAATATCATCCTACTACTCGTGACATAGCATTTACTAACATTCTGTATAATAGGATTGATGCTGGCTTTGATGATAAATTGGGTANCCCTGTATACAGGTATTTTTAATATAAATAAAATGTGAGTATTTTTTTATAGATATTGAAGGCATTAAAAACTTTTTCTGGAAATTGTTTCTAATTAACATTTCAAATTTTGAGGAAAAAAAATGTATTTTTGTTTTTGATATATTGTATAAATATTGAGTTTGAATAAATGACAAAAATTAACTTTTTAATTAATGTTGAATTTTATTTTATTGTATGAGGAGATTTCTTAATAGTTGTTTAATTTAAAACAAGATAAAATTATAAATATTACTAAAATTATTTTTCAATTTCATATAAATTTGAAAACCTGTGGCTTAAATTATGGAAATTAAGTATTATTAATTAAAATGTTTAAAAACTTTTTGAACCTTTAACCTAAAATTTCAATAGTTCTGCTACAAGGAAAATATTTATTTGAATATTTAAGCACAAAATGTTAAAATATAAAAATAATAATATAATCATGTAATTTTTAATAATAAAAAAATATTTTTAATGTTTATACAATGCAATATTTTATGAGTATTTCATAACACAAATAAACATCTATAATAAAGATATTCTAAAAATCTAATGACACTTTAGGTAACATAACAAACTAACTTTTTGAAATATAAATAAAATTATGTCTATATAATTTTTAAAAAAAACTATCAAAAAATACTTATCAAGTAGTTATAAATGTAATATTGGAAGAATGTGTAGATATACCATTATTAAAAAATAAATTTAAACCAAATCCTTGAAATGAAAAAAGTACATAACATATTTAAAAGCATAATAATTATAAAAACTATATTTAAATTTGTTCTACTTGTAATTAAACATAATGTATATCAAAATAGAATTATATGTGCATTATAATATTTGTCACAAAATTCATTTTAATTTATAAACATTTAAGACAAACAATATATCCTTTACTAGCCAATACTCCTCTACATTTGACATGAGTTAAGTATCTTATTATCCATTCAAGTTTAGGTGTTCTCAGATTAACTTCAGATTGTTTTTCAAATATTTCAACCAAACATGAATGTGGTAAAATTTCTGAAATAAATAATTGAACAACTAATTTTATTGTTAAATTTATATATTTTAAATGTAATACCATATGAATCGCTATGAGTTAAAAGTTGCACATCATTATCTTTTGTAAATTCTTGTAATGAAGCAGGTACAACACAACATGAATTCAGATTGATTTGAACAATTGTTGGTTTTATCTAAGATTGTAATATGTTATATTGATTAAATGAAATATTTCATGTTATACTTCTTTCTTAAAAAAAAAAAAAAAATAGCTATTCAGAAAAAATAAATTTTATTTTATCTTACTATTGAATTGTTGTACAATGAAATAAATAGTTCTGTATCTACATCACTCACACCAATACGTGTGATCTTTTGTTTGTTAACATAACTCTCCAGTACAGCCCATAATGTTAATAAATCTGCCAATAAAGTATCTTTTCCATGATTAAAAGCTAGTATGACTGAATCAATGACACCATAATTTAATTCTTGGAATACTGGAAATAAAAAATATGATAAATATTTAGTATCTTTCTTATACATAGTTTTTAATTTATTGCATTGATGTTTTTAGTTTCACACTTACAATTTTTTAATGCATCCTCTAAATGATTAACCTCATTACTTGTTAAAAATATCTTAACACCTGTTCTAAGTGCCTCATGTTCTTCTTCAATATTATTATTATAACACTCTTCACATTTTAAATGAAAAGATTTCTCATTCATTGAATAAGGTGACGGTCTGTTTGATAAACAAGTATTCAAACATTCAACAATCTAAAATTGAATATAATTTTGTAGCTTTTTAGTTAACAATAAATAATTTTTCTTACTTCTTCAGTAGAGTTTTGACCAGCTTTTTGAGTCAAATCATTGGCATTTAACACATTTCCAGTATGAATATACATTTTAGAAATGGATTTTGGGAGAGAGAATGAAGACATTTTAAAATTAAAATACAAATGCACAATTGTTTTAATGTTAAGATTTAATTATTAGTACAATGTGTTACTTAGTTAACAAGTTGTAGAGATAGATTGACAGGTCTAGGCCATCTATAAGGACAAATACTGTATAGGTTTAAAAAAAAATGTTTTACTAATGGCTGATGCATGTTATCAATTCAAGGTCATATCGTAAAAAACCAATTAGGTTATCACAACGATTTGGAATGGTTACTCGAATTTTAAGTACTGATTAAGTAATATTTAAACGTGATATCAAGAAATACTGCGTCAAATCATCAATTATATATTTGAATAATATACCTAATTTGGTGTAAACTTTTATTAATATTTTATCCTGTTATATTTTATCTTAATAAGTGATTAGTGTAAAATAGACGTTTTGTACTTATTAATTATGACTGTGGACTATATTCAGTTTGGATATGCTGCAACAGTAGCTGCAGGAGGAATTTTCGGCTACGCGAAAGCAGGTAAATATGAACGATAAAAGTATTTACGCAAAATATTAAATTAAAATGAATCCTTTCAATATAGCTAGTATTCCTAGTCTATCGGCAGGACTACTATTTGGATCATTGTTAGGATTTGGAGCTTATCAGTTATCCAAAAATCCTAATAATTTAGCTCTCTCTTTAAGTACTAGCGCTGTTCTTGGAACAATAATGGGAGTAAGGTATATCAATAGTGGAAAAATAATGCCTGCTGGTTTGTTAGCTGCACTTAGGTAAATATTTTTATATTTATATACTCAAAAGTATATTACTGTAACAATTAATAGTAGTTGAATTTATTTAAATAAAAATCATATTAAAATATATACTTAATTAAAATGTAAAGCTGAGAAGATATCAAATTTACTATAATGATTTTTTTTTATGTTTCTATCCCTGCTCTATCAGTTTTTATTCAACTGATTTTGTTCATTAATACATCAAAAAATCAGAAATATTATCCACAAAAAGGTATTACCCTATAATATTGAAAAACTTTCCTTCATCCCATAAAAGAGAAAAGTCTTCTAAAAATTACCATTTTTGAAGTTAGTAATTTTTTTTTTAACTATAACGACTTAAAAATAGTATTTTTTGAAAATTTAAAGAATTAAATGTTTTTATAAATATAATAGATATGTTGCTTGTTAGGCATATTTTTTTTTGAAAATATGACCTTACATGTGCTAAGAGGTGAATGTTCAAAATACCTTAATTTATGAAACTTTCAGCTTAACTTTTAAAAATATTCTACAAAATCTGACAACTTTAATTATGTTATAAAGGTTATAATATTACCTTATAATCAGTGTTGGGAAAGTTCCTTTTTAAATGGAACTCGTTCCGTTCCCCGTTCATTTTCTAAAATATGAACTCGTTCCAGATACTAGTTCTTTATATTAAGAAGGAACTTGTTCCAGATCCAGTTCCTCCAAAATAAGAACTCGTTCCACTCTTCGTTCCTTTTATGTAACCAAGTTATTTAAAAAATTGTGGCAATGAGATCATGATAACGGTCATCAATGATTTTCATCAGCAGTCGAATACAAAACAAATTTGTAGTATTCCTTATCTAAAAGTATTCGAAAATTATATTTATAAACAGGTAGTAAATGCTAACGACTTGTGTCAACGCGACCAATGTCTATTGTCTACATATAAGTTAGAAATAATAAATCAGAAAACCCAAAACCTTTAACATATATTAGTTAACAAGAAACGACGATAATATTCGGTGCATTATTTAATATATGTACACATATATTAAATATTTACTGTATACTTACATGTGATAACTCTATAGTCAATTGATTCATTTAAACAGCCTACGATCTCGGCTGGGTATATAGGGGACTTCCATTGTTAAAAGTCAACTAAAAATACCTTGATATTTTAATGTCTAGATACGAAGAAAACTACACTAAAACGTGTTTATAAAAATTTTTAGGAACTGCAATTTCCGTTCACGTTCCTTAAAAAATGGAATTTGTTCATTTTCCTCGTTCCTTTATTTTAAAAGGAAGCAGTTCCTAGCTTCGTTCCTTCAAAAAGAACTCGTTCCAGGAATCCGTTCCTTTTGGAACCAGTTCCTTCTCAACACTGCTTATAATACATTATAATATTTTTATCTTGGAAAAAAAAAAGACGTTTGTATTTTATGTGTATAAATCACCAAAGATAAAGATAAAAGTACAATTTTTGTAAAAAATTGTAAAATTTAGAAAAGTTTTATGTATTGTTTAATAAAATATATTTTGTGGACAGTGTAAAAATTAGTATCAATTTTATTGGTGTAAAGAAGGTTGTGGTCCAGTTCCTCTCTTTCTTCGGAACCCCTTGTTTTTTTAATTAATTTTATTTAATGGTGGACATAATTGAAACTTGCAAACAGAATAAAATGTAACAAAAATACAGATTATGTTATTAATTCTATATAATGTTTAGCGTTCCATCTATCTATGTAATTACATACATTTTGAATAAATCTTAAAGGGTTTATTTGTTAGAGGTAGAAAAAATGAGTCCTTAAGCCCTAATTGCTGCTATTTTGAAGTATTGTTAGTTTGTATGATATATTGTTAATAAAAATTGAGTAACTGAATATTTTATACGTTAAAATATACAATTAAAGATTGTTTAAATATATTTTCTTGAAGTGTCCCCATTTATTTTTAGTGTAGAAGAATTTCAATGATTGTTAATAAAAATTATTAATATTTAAGCTGTTGAATCTTAGATACGTTTAAAAATAAAAATTAAAAACTAGTTGCCAGGTTTTCAAATATATTATTATCAAAAATGCGAAATAAAAAAAAATATTTTTTTAAGTTAAAGAGAAATCCATACCTTATTTTTCTACAATAATATATTTTATTAATAGTCTAAGAAGAAACTCTTATTACTTGCTTAAGAGTAAACGTTAGTAAAAAATGATCTATTTTAAATATACTCAATTTAGATAATAAAATAGATTATTTTTTTAAATAGGAACAATATATTTTCAAATACATATCGTTGATTGAATACAAAGTCAGATATAATAAAATTATACTTTTGAAATTTTTTGTGTGACAATTAAAGTAAAATTGTACAAATTGTAGAATTATTCACTTAAAATTAAAAATAGTGAAAATCCACTAAGTGGCGAGTGAGTACAATGACTAATGACCAAACTGTAAATTTTGAACCTAACAAGATTTAAAATTTTGGTTTATCAATTCATTTTTATATTTCTGGAGTACCTAAATACATCATACTTATGCTTTTTATTTTTGGACCAAATTTTTGATTATTAATTTAGTTTTTAATTTTATTTGTGACTATAAAATTTATTTACAACTTTTGAATATCATTTGTCAAATTAAAAAAAATGGATTTTTTTAAAAATTCTTTTAGATACTGATTTTTATATAGAATAGAAAAATAATTTAATAACATTTATATTTTAAGCATATATGAGTTGATCGTAACCAAAAAAGGATAAATTCTAAATTTTAACTAAAACGTAAAACTACTATAATCTTGTTCATAAAATATATCTAAAACTAACAATGCTGTTGAAGAGTGGCACAATTCTTTTACCAATATTTCAAAAGCCATCCACCCTTCTATTTGTAAAATTATTAATATACTAGAAAAATTAAATAGGTTATAAATTAAACAAACAACAGAAAAAGAATCGCCAAAAAAAGGGAAATACTTATACTATGTTATACAAATAAAAAATATCAGCATAAAATTTAATGAAATGACAGTGCTAATTTTGTTAAAAGAATTTTCTCGTAATTTTAATTGTTTAAAATAATTTTATTTTAAACAATTTTAATTTTCTATTTTAACCTTAGATTTAGTTGATGACAAATACATTAAAATTATATTTGTATTTTGCAATAACACACAAGTTGTTTTTATTTTAAATTAATAATCTATTCCTAAAATCTAAATTGCACCTAAATGTTTTTTGTGAAATTGTTGTAAAACCAGTAAAAACAAAATAAATAATCTAAATTCTGTTTTCATAAGTTAATTAATAGTTGTATTTATAATTAGTTAACCATAAAGATGTGTAACATTATCTTAAAAGTATCCCCTAATTTGATTTCAGTTTAGCTATGGTGGTAAGACTAGGATCAAGACAAGTTATTTTATGGTCATCAAAAAACCAATAAATGAACCTAGGGAAACAAGTCATGAATTGCAATTATCTACTGTAAACATATCAGAAGAGCAATCTCAAAATTTACATAAATGACATACAAAATCAAAGTTAAATTTTTGAAATTATTACTTGTATAATTTATCATAGTTAATAACATTATTTCCCTAGGTTTAAATAATTATTAATTGTTTTAATTTGGAAAATAAAACATTTTTAAAGTTTAATAGTATACATACAAGTTTAGTATAAGGATTGTAGAAGATTGGAAATTGTGGAATTTATGTAATAAAAACTATTAAAAATTATCTATTTACATTTTTACTATAATAATGCATATTTATATGTACATTCCCAATACTTAATTTATATTAGTTTATTGCTTAATAAAAAATTAATATAAAAAGTACTGTTCTACTTAAAAATATAGGTATGAGGTTTTTATTAACTAATTTTAGTTTGTATTATTATTTATAAACTATAAATAAATTACAAAATTTGCTTTAATCACATAATTACAATAAGTTTTGCTACATTGTCAATTGGTATATATAACTTGAGTTTTCGAAATCAGCAAAATATATTAAATTGACTATCTATAATGGTTTTTATCACAATAAAAATACTTACATAAATTGTATTATGTACTGGTTTCAAATTTTACTTTTTAATAAATGTATTCTAATTTAATTGTAAAAACAATTTTTACAATTATATTCTAATAAATAAAAATATACATAATGAAGATTATATCAAACTTCTAATGAATGATTAATTGATAAAAAAATCAGTTAATGTACGACAAAACTGATTTTCAATTTATATTTTTAGTTTATTTTACATTAATAATAATAATAATCATAATCATCTAATCTCACAGAGATTATTTAAAACTTATTATTTATATGATGAATAATTCTTATTATTGGTCAGCCATTATGCACATATTGTGCATTATTACATATGTATTTGACTGCAGCACAACAGTTTTTCTGGATATATTGATTTGAACAATACTCTAAACCATTTTTTGTGAGATAGTCATAGCATGATATAGCACCCCATGTGTCCATGGCACCAGCTTTATCGATGCACTCATCAGCTGAAAGTTATTAAACTTAATTAAAATATATATTTGTTTTTTTAGTCTATTTTGAATGATCAACAAATAATATTAATAATATTGTTAGTATGATTTCATTATAATAAATGAGTATTGATGAATGAAATTATTATATTTTATTGATAGTAATTAATAAAATGTCTGCTAACATGCAATGTCTTAGTCCATTTAGAGTTATATGTAAACTTAGTTATTTTGTATTAGAAATTAGCTGTTATATTTTTATTGTATGGTTATTTTAAGTTTTTGATTTTTATGAAAATTGAGGTGATATTTCTTAAAGTAATATTTGTTTTCATAGGTATAGAAGATAAAGTAATTTTAATGAGCTTCTTTACCAACAGTATGATGAGGATGACTTTTACTCAGTAAATAACTTACCATGTAGGTTATTAGGAAATTGAGGTTGATTGTTGAATTTCAATTCTTGTGGTCCAAAATGATGATATTTGTTTTTAAGTAACAAAGCTAAAGGGTCTTCATTGTTATTTTGTTTTTGATTGTAAAGTTGTCTGTTTGTTAGTTGTGTATCATAAGGTTTAGTAGTTGTCGTTTGTATATGATAAAAATTAGGTGTATATGTTTGAAAGTGTAAGTAATTATTTTGATAGTTTTGAATTGTTTTTGGAGTTGTCTTCCAAAAATCATTCCACACTGACCTAAAATGTTGCCAAATAAGGTCATTTTAAACATTTTAGATCTTGTCTAAACTATACATTTTTTTCAGTAATAATACTACTTTGGTTATTAATTTTTCTATGTAAAAGAATTTGTTTATGTTGAACGATTACGCGTTATTTTATAATTGTCATGAAAATATAAAGATAAGGTATAATTTAAAAATAGTAAAAATAACGAATCAAAATTAATATTATTTTCTATTTGATCGAAACATTAAAAAATATATCAACGATATCTTTCAAAGAATGGGTTAGCTTACAATTAATAAAGGTTTTTTTTATATGGTATGAAATAATGGGTTTAACAATAAAATTACATTTTCAAGTAATGATCCAACAAAGAAAAATTTGAAGCAGTTTCAAAAAAGTCAATTATTTCTATGTTTATTTTAACACTGTAAAAATGATCCAAAAATACGTCAATATGATAATTTTAATATTCACATTAATTTTACACACAAGTAGTGTAAATTTAACTTAACATATCGAAAATTTATACCCAAGTATGTCATTTAAAAAGCAACACCTATCTCACATTTTGGTTTAAATGATTTTATATACTTTTATATGTAATTTATTGCACTGAATTAAATGACAGTCTAAGATTTTATATTAAATCAATAGATAGCGTATTAGTCAAATAATAAAAAATTCATTAAATATTAAAATTCCTCAGAAAACCGTTTTTTTTTTGCTCTGCTGTAAAATTGACAGAAATGAGATAGATGGTCTTGCTTCTTGAGCAACGTAATATAACATTTTTATTACTATTTATCAACATTGAATGCGTTAAAAACTCTGAGTAAATATATTTCTTATGAAAATTCATTCATTTTTTGTGCATTTTTTGAAAAAATAATTGTTTTGTTATTATTGTTTCATATATTTTTATTTTGTGAGTAACTGATGATATGATGTTTGTAATTTGTTCAACAAAATATTTGCTTTAAAATACGTCTAAAAACTAAGGAGAATTCGCTATTTTTTGGAGTCATTTGAAGATTTTTAACATTTTATCGTGTACGAAAAATTTAACAAATTTGATAATCTGTTTATAAATCACATGGGTTAAGTTAAAGAAGATTTTCTTTTTGCTTTTTTTTACTCCGACATATTATTTTCGAATAATAATTTACTAAAAATACCGATAATAATTAATTGTAAGTATTATATTTAATACTAATTTTCAAAACTTAACTACCAAATCAAAAACATTGAATGAAACAGAAGTTAAGTTAAATTTTAAATCAAATTGAATTGTTTATAATTACTAATGGAAAAGTTGGTTATGCTAATGAATATTAATGTGACCCATCATTAAGATTTTAAGCTACTTTAAAGTCTCAATTGGAAACAGCGCATCAATAGGGGTTATCATATATACGCAATTAAATCATGAGGGACGTATCCTAAGATATCAAAATAATTATAATAAAAAAATAATGGTTACATTTCAGCTGCATTTCCATTAAATATGTCATTACTTACTTGATAATTTCTTTATTTTTTATGGATAAAATAGTACACATTTTGTAATTTACCTTTGAGTTGATATATTAGGAGCCACATATTGTGGCCACGTCTGAGTAGCTTCTCCTTCTTGAAAGTCTCCTATTCTTCGAATATATGATGGAGTGTTTTGTGAAAAATCAGGTATGATATTTTCGTGTTCCGTAATGCATTTTCCGTTTGTACAGTACTATTAAAATAATTTTTACAATATTTTTGTATAAATAAAATTACTATTTTTAATTTTCAATTTACTTGTCCGTCTCCGCAAGGAGAACCTTCAGCAGCTGGTCTGTAGGCTACACAGTAACCTGATCCAGCATCAAAACAAAAAAGTTGGGCACACACTCGATCATCTTTCTGCAAAATTAATATAATTTAGATTAATGTCTTTGATTTATTATAATAATAAAATTCACTAATTTTTTTTCTTATCTTAGAAATTTAATAGATTTTATAAAATGTAATAAACATTTTCTAGGTTTTAATACTTACAAAACAAGCACTAGTTCCTCGATCTTTTCTACATTGAGCGTCCAACGTCAATAGTTTTCCAGGTAACATTCTTGGTAAAGACTCGTCTTCGTGAGGAGAGTTAAACAAACAAGTAGCTGTATCACCACTATATAAAAAAGGTAATTCTTTCTTTAGTAGTAATTAAATTATCTTATTATATTCAAAAACGTTGAAAAATTTGTCATTACTGGAAAAATTTCTTAACGATCTCCGATTTTCTTTTTTTAATCAAAGAGCTCGTTGAAATTGCTCTGGGAAAACTATTCACGAAGAATAGAAAATTTTCTTTAGAACTTCGTAAGCGTTTAAAAATATCAGATTTCTTGTTTGTCGAATTATAACTTAAATTTTTTACTAGGGCACCAATACATTTTCTAAAGGTACCCTGAAAATTTTGTTGAAATCCGTTAGTTTTTGTCCGAGTTAAGAGATTTTTTTTTTTTTTAAGACCCCCGCAGAGTTTTTATTAAGATACAGTTTTATGTCTGCGCATTGCAATAGATTATTTATATTTTATGATATTTCAACAGAAAAAAAAATAACGTGGTATTTAAAAATTGAATTTCAATGATTATAAAATTATCTTTTGTATACCTGTTGTGCTAAATAATTAGTAATAATAATTATTATTATTTAGTATAATTTTGTATAGATCTATGTATTTTTGCCTTTATTTTATTTATTATTTTTTTTTGCTATATTTTTATTATACTGATTCTGAAGTAATATTTTTCTTTCAAAACAAATATTGTGTACTCCTACCAAAATCAGTGAAGATGACCCGAAGGTCCTAATGTGCTGTAGAGGAGAGAGGCCTATAGGGAACCAGGTCTGGAGTGGATCCAACTAGTCGGAGTCAAGTCATAGTATAATAATTAGAACTTAATTTATAGAACGGTATTTCAAAACATGATATCACCAGTATTTTAATACTACTTAAGGTTTAATTTATAAAAAAAATATTTAAATTTAGAATAATATACAATTATTTTCACTGAATTTTCGTATTTTAATCTTATTACAATAATTTCGATTTTTACTAATATATTAACTGTCACTTTTATTGTAAATTTTTAGCTTCGATGCGAAGCTGAAAAGGTATTAATTTTACTATGATGAATTTTTTTTTTTAATATATTTTTTTGTCTGTGAACGCTCAATCTTAGCTCTCGCTGGACTGATTTTGATGAAAATACATCAAAAAATTACAAATCGTATCTAGACGAAGGCATTACCCTCAAGAGTTGAAAAATAATCCCTTATGTCTCGTAAACGGGGATTTCCCCAAAAACATTAAAAATTTAAAAATCGCTAATTTTCGACATTTTTAAAATTTTTTTACTTAAAATTGCCATAATTTTTTTAAAAATGACCGAATTAATATTACTTTTTTTTTTATAGATACCTCAGGTATTTACTTATCATTTGATATATTTTTGTGAATGTTTTACCCTTTACCAGCCCACAGGAAGGGTTTCAAAATAATAACTTTTTCAACTTAACTTTTGAAAATGTTCCGGAATGACTGACACTTTTATATATACTTCAAATTAAAGCTTATGTAATATACTTTAATTAAAAAAAAAAAAATTGATCTCTGGATTTGTCTTCATGGTGAAAATGACTACCGTATTTAAAAATATTCTATTTTTGTGTTAAAATTCTGGGTTTTGTATTTTATTTTATTTTAAAATACCTGACAAGGGGAGTACACTGATTTTCATAGATATTATATAAATCAAATTGATATAGCATAGAAAGTTAAATTTGAATTTTTTTGCTTTTTTTAAGTAGGGAAAAATAACTTTGAAATTCGAACTAGCTTAAATTGCCATTTTTTTCAGTGGACGTAAGGTTGCCGAGTCGGTAACACTTGAGTATTACGCGCTTGGGGTACAAGGTTCCACCCACATATGGCAAGAAATATTTTGCATTTTTTCTTAATTCTTTTTAAGTTACAATAAATTTTCAACTCCTTTGATTTTTATTTCATTCAGATTCAATTACTTCAATAAAGATCAAGGATGCCATCACTGTAGTTGCCCCTCGTGAGAAGAAATTTGTTATTCATTTTAAAATTATTTTACTATATTTTAGGTTTTAGCTTCGATTCAAAGCTGAGAAGGTATTTTTTTGTGACTATCATTTATTTTCTCTGCTCTAACTTGACCTACATTTTTCAACGATACGTCAAATGATTACAATTAGTTAAAATGAAGATATTATCCTCAAAAATTGAAAAAAAATTCTAATCTATCAATTAAACAGTTACTTATCCCATGTTCTCCATACAAACAATTAAAATCATTCATTTTTAATGTTTTCAATGTATTTACTGACGAATTTTTCGATGGGCCGTAAATTTTCAATCCGACCTTGCACCCGCGAATTAAAACTTTTAACTTTGGATTCTGACAAACTACTTTTTAGAATATTCTCCGACAAATGACATAAAAAATAGCTTAATACTACGCCATTAATTATTTTGTAATATATTTAAGAAATTTTATTTTGCCTATATTAATTTATAAGATAAATTATACTTTACTTTAAGAAATGGTGAAATGAGGACACGCTACAAGGCGACCACCTAAATCCTTTTTCTGTGTGTCTCAAGTCACTCATAATGTAACCGTCTTCCCAGCGACATTTTTCAGCACCTGGACCTCCTAGATACGTTGGAGGGGGTGATCCATCATGTACAGCACCAAGTCTAAAATCCAAAAGTCGTTTTATTTTTGATGAATTTAGTATTTAAAAATATTTACTTACAAATGGCCCACTTCATGAGCGGCTACAATGATACCAGAAAATCCACCAGTATCTTCTATAATAGCAACGCTGTTAACTTTTTCGAGACGCTTATTTACAACGCATGCTCCACCAACATATGCAAATCCTAGGTTAAATTAAAAAAATGTATATATTATTATTACAACATTTATATGTAGATTGAATTATAGAAGCTCTGATAATTTTCAGTAAAATTAAAGCATTAATATGTGATATTTTATCAATATTTTGTATTGATTTAAAACATTTTAATAAGCTAATTCATGCTTGATTTAACTTGATTTTTTTGTTTTGAAGTTATGGTAAAATATTTTTGTATATCGAATAGTTAATATTTTTGTTGAAATAACAATAAATACAGCGTGATCCATGAACCATGTACTACTTTTTATTAATTGAAAATTAAAAATAATGTTGGACATTTTTTTTTGGTTTTCTTTAGGTACGTGTGTTTTTTAATTTATCGATCAAAAGTATTTTTTTATGCTTATCCCTATTAACAATCTCATACCTTATAAGTGTCATCTTATTTTTGTCAAAAGGTTACTTACATAATTAACTAGCTTATTTAATAAATAATGATGTAATTATGAAAATGACTGATCAATAATAAACTTTGGGTCAGTATTTTGAAAGTTAATAACAGTTAATAGTAATGGCTGCACGTGAGATATAGGTGTTATTATTTTTATCACTAGACATTTCTTAATCTATCTTCTCCCGTCAAGATGTAAACATGTCAATATCTTCCGAAATAATGATCCAAAAGTCGTTATTGACCAATTATTTTTCTAATTAAATCATTATCTAATAAATAAGTTAGTTAATTATGTGTTCTCATTTAAGAAACAAAGTTGACAACTTTATAAGGTATAAGAGATGAACATAAAAATATTTTATAATTAATAAAAATTTAAAATAAAAAAAATCTTAATGTTTTTTTTATTTTTCGATTAATAATGTGGTTCATGATAAATAAATTAGAGTAATATATATATTATTAGAGTAATAATATATTAGAGTAATACAGAGTGTATTGTTTAATTTACAAAATAAAACTGTTGGCATTATTTTGATTATATATTTGTTTATTTGAATAAGGATTTTTGTCAATTTTAAAAATATTATATCTATACCAAGATTTTTTTAAAAACAACGAAAATCAAGTTAATTCTCTTTATGTTACGACAGTCGATTAAAGATATTAAAGAATCCAGATAAATATTTCAGCTAAAAAAAGCAAGTTCAATTAGGTTTATGTTTTAAATAAATACTAATAGTTTTTATAAACTTGGTTTTTAAATTGCAAATTTAGAAACACGTCACCATTAAAAGAATTAGCATCCAAGCTCTTTTTACTACATGCATGTTAGAAAACTTTTGAATATCATATAAGATACTTGTACATTCTATATAAATAAAATGTATTTAAGAAAAATTCATGTGTTGAAAATATAGCTTTTTCTAGCTACTTTGCATTCAGTAGCACATTTTAGTTAAACATCATTATTAAAGGTGTAAAAGAAGATAAGTTGTGTCCTTAATTACAAATTATATCCATGTGATAATCCAAATTTCAGTGTCATACAGAATGAACCAAGAATGTTTGTTCCTTATTCTTTATTAACAATGTAATAAAATTTAGTGCAATATCATTTAGAAGAGATATTGGATATATATCTTTGGAATATAAAATATTACAAGTGCACTGTATTTATTTGGATTTTCAGGGACATACCTGCGGTACCCCTGTTGCATGTATCATGTGGGTATTGTCTCCTGCACATGTCTAATCTGAAAATGAAACATTTCGATTTGGTTTAATCCATTCTCGTAGATATTTTTCTCACGAATCCAATTGTTTGAATTTAACAAGTATTTGTTAATAATATTTATATGCATTTTAATACTAACTCTGTTTTAATATATTAATGATTTTGTATTATCTACATTACTACTACACTCGTTAAAAGCTATAGTTATTACTTATTACACCACAAGAATATAATAATACTTGATATATATTATAAACCGTTGCACCAAGAAGGTAATTTAGTAATATAAGAAAAAAAAAGTTTGAAAATTTGTATGTACAAATTTTTCCGAATTACTAATTAAGCATTTCCCTAATATTTTTATTTATCACATACCAGCCGTTCCTTTTGTGCAACGGCCTCCTTTGCGACGTCTGCACATGTCGTACCTAAATGCATTTTATGTCGGTTATAATGACCCATTAATAAATAAATAAGAAGTTAAACCTTTCGATTTCAAGATTTGAAATTCATGAGATTAATTTTACTTTGAAGTTTTAATTGTGAATTTTGAATTTGAGTCGCGATTGATTACTTACTTTGTAACTGCTACAGCAATGTCATATACAGGTAGTCTCCTTTCTTTAAATAAATATTTTCCCATATCAGTTAAAGCTGCAGCTGAATCAATTGCATCCCTGCCCACTCTATTTCTTTCTAAGTATGGGGTAGCATCTCTTGCCTAAAAAAATTTAATTCATATAAATCTATATATATATATATATATATCATTCTTTTTTTTTCAGCTATCACAATGGAAAAAGATAAAGTCTACAAATTCATGGTTACAGGTAATAGACCGTATAGCGCTAATGATGTTTTTTCAAATCTTCAAAAGCACAATGTTGGTAAGGCTGCAGTGGATAAAGCACTTGATCAATTAGTGAAAGATAATAAAATTTTTGTTAAAATATACGGAAAACAAAAGGTTTTTTGTGTGATTCAGCCTGATACTACTTTAGACAATCAAAAAGAAATTGAACGTCTTGATGAAGAATTATTAAAAACAAATGAAAAACTAAAAGATGTCGAACAAAAATTAAAAAAATCTGAAGTGGAAGTAAAAATGTTAAAAAATACTTATAGTATTAAAGAGGCAGAGAACATGATTACAGAATTGAACAAATCTATTACGGAACTTAAAAGTAAATTGGATGAAGTATCTAAAAACAAAGTTTGCATGTCAGAAAAAGATAAAGAAAAAATTAAGTTTAACCACGAAAAAGTTATTAAAGAATACAGAAAAAGAAAGCGTATTTGCATGGATGTATTAGATTCGATCTTAGAGAATTGCCCCAAAACAAAAAAAGCTCTTTTTGAAGAAATCGGCATAGAGACAGACGAATCAGTTAAAATGCCTAGTTTGTAAATTAGCGTTACATATTTGTTGATATTTAATTAATTTTATAATTATTATACTATTTAACTTTACTTACCCTTGATATTATAATTCCAGCTATACTAATACGAATTTTTGGTCCTTTAAGCAGTCTATACCTAAGATCCACACCATTCCAGAAAGAAACAAAATATCTCTTTATTTGTACATTATCTCCACCGTGTAACCTAATATCCATATTTGAATTAAGTTATTTAAATATTAAAAATAAAGTAATATTACATTTATAGTTACAAATGTTTAGTTCTTATGAATATGTCATAATCAATTAACAAACCTGTATCCATCATAGTCTACGATCACCATAATTTCTGGATAAATGGCGTAAGGTGCTTCCCTCTTTGTTATAGATCTTTTTCGTCTAGTTCTTGGCAATGAGTCTGGTTCCATCAGAGCTATAATTAACGGTTTAAATATTAATTGATTTTTAACAATTAAATTGCAGACTATCTACCATAATCTCCAGAATTTGTATCAGAATCTGGGTTTCTTCTATACACAATATGTTTGTGATGTACAAATTTTTGAGGTTTTAAAGGAAAACCTTGCTTGGACACTTCATTATCGCCATTATCAATTTCTTGGTCCATAAAAATTTCGTCGTCTGGAACAGACTGTACGTGTTTTCTGTACAGTGAAGGGATTGGTTTTACAACTAAATGTTCACCAATAGTTCCTTCCTAAAAAAAAAAAATCTTTCATTAAGATTTCCCATTGGATTTAATTCGATTGTCAGTATCACACATATCCATTTGTATTGATAGAAATATTAAATAGGATTGATAAATAAAAATATTAAAGTCTTGAAGGTAAATAAAGATAGTGGCAATATGGAAAATCTGCTTTTGTATTTGCTTAATATAAATGCGTAAATATATTTTTTTACAAAATCCTTATGGCGACAACTGAACTATAAATATTGGAATAATATTAAAAAAATTGGATAACTTCCAAAGTTATTGACTAAAAAGTTGTTGGTGATATTATATTAATGCATTACAGCGTGTAATTAAATATTTTATATGTTTAATTTAGTATTTTGCGTTTATTTTTAAAGAAATAACATAATTTTATCCAGAAGTGTTATTAAGTATACTTTTAATATGTAAATTAAAATCATATAATACATATTTGGTTAAAAAAAGTTCTATAGCGGATTTTTTTTATTCAGCTAATAAAGTTAGCTAAAATTTTACATTATTTTTTTAAATAATTTTCTAATATTTTTTCAAGTTATATACTTCTAAGTATAGCTTAATGAGTAAAAAAAAAGTCTGGAGTGGGCTAAACCTCAGATGTATTGAAGTAGCTTTGAATGATGTTTAATAAAAGTTTTTGTTTTGGATATTTAATACACCATAAACTATATTTACAAAAAACTTGGCTTTGACACAACTAATGATGAAATTGGCATAAACGCAAATTCAACATTAGCTATTCGATTAAACTTTTAATTTTAATTTTAGTAAAATTCGATAATATACACTGTAATATAATAATATAGTGTAATATATATACCAAGAAGTTCATTTTTAAACTGAGATATTTCTATAAAAAATTCATTAGTAGTAAAAACATAAAAATTTTATGTTTAAACCTTGGGTTCCTTGCATTTTAATATTAAATAGTTGCTACAGAAAAATTGCTAAAATATAATTTTTTATGTTATTAGTATAGTTCATTTTCATTTCATAAGAAGTGTTATACCTTTGGAAATTCAATGTTCTTAGCTCAACATTTTTAAGTATACGAAAAAATTACTATTATATTTTAGCCTTCAAAGTGCGATGATGTTCATTACGGAATAAAACTGATTATTTATTTAATGTATGAATATTTTTTTATATAATTTAATTAAATTGCAAAGCTAGTAACCGGTTCTTAACATACAATTTTCTCTCTTTATTGTTAGTTATCGTCTTAAGACGACAACCAATGTCATAATTATTTCAAAAATTCATATTTTCTTTCAAAATAATTTCTAATTGTAAATTATTCATGAAAAATCGATTCATAAAAAAAAATATAAATAGCCTTTGAGTAGTATAATAATTATGAAGATGTAGTGTATTTAATTACATTTATTCAAAGATCAATGATAATTAAATCACTTAAATTTGAGACTTTAGATTAGCCAACTTAATATTTGCTGAATAATTGTTATTTGTTTGAACATTAGAGACAGAGTGAAAAAAGTATTTGTTAGGAATGAAAAAAAAGTTGATTCATGAGTTTTTGTCCAATAGTACTAGAAAAAACGTTAAACGTTTATTAAGGTCTTGAACTTAAACTTTATTAAAATCAGATTTATATATTTCTTTTAAATTTTCGTGTATAGATATCCTGTTTTTTCATTCAAAAATACAGGTAAAATCACATGAACCATTTAATTTTCCAAAAAAAAAAAAAATAATAATTTTGAGAATTATTTCGTTTTGGTTAATTTAACTTAAACGTTTTTATGTATTTATCAATCACAAAGTACTTTTTATGTTTATTCTTTTACCTTTATAAAGATGTCAACTTTGATTTCTTAAATGCGAACACATAATTAACCAACTTAGATAATAATCATTATCAATTAAATAGATCAATCTAATTATGAATATGATTGGTCGAAATTAAACTTTGGGTCAGTATTTTGAAAGTTAATAACAGTTGATAGTAATGGCTGCACGTGAGATATAGGTGTTATTATTATTATTACTTTTATCACTAGATATTTCTTGGTCTCTCGTCTCCCGTCAAGATGTAAACATGTCAATAACTTCCGAGATAATGGTCCAAAAGTCGTTATTTACCAATTATTTTCTTAATTAAGTCATTATCTTATAAATAAGCTAGTTAATGATGTGTTCTCACTTGAGAAATCAAAGTTGACAACTTTATAATGTATAAGGGATGTACAAAAAAAATACTTCACGTTTGAAAAATTGTGAGAGACATTTAACTAGATAAATCGTTAAAAAAATATATTATTATTAGTTTTATTTATCGATTAATTAAGTGGTTTATGATAAGTGATTCCTTCTGCATATGTATGTAGATGTTTCGTTGTGGAATAATGTTTCATTGGGCGATAGTGTTATAATAAATTCGGTTTGTACAATGACCAACGATGATAAATTATATATTTTTTTGACTTAAATCGATGCTGTAGCATCAACTACCAAATGGATAGCGACTATGTTTTCCTGAAAGCGCATGAAAAATAGTATAATTGTTTAATTATTCATTAGGTTTCATCGAAATTTTATAATTTCTTATTTGTGTTGTGATTTGTGGAGTCAACTATCGAGGCCGAAACATGTTTTAACATAAATCTGATGTTAGTATCAATGTACCTTTAACGATTAGTTAAACAAAGCCTATTTGATTTATTTGTCATTAGTATTAGGTGTTTTTGTATGTTTAATTATTGTAAATAGATATAACAGGAACCTAATTGTTGTCCCTGATTATGTTTAATTTATTGTAAACTGCTAAAGATTTGGCACGTCTTACGCAAATGCAATCACTATAAATAACTATTTGTGTTTTTTCAATGGAATTGAAAGTATTTTATTTAACATCATACGTAACATTAAAAAATATTTCATTTAATATATATATATGAAAACGATAATAAATAAATATTACTATTAAGTCAACTCTTATTATTTTTCAGTTTTTAAAACATTTTCTATAAAATTTACTTTTATTCGTGTTCATAGTTTTTTTCTACTTTAAATACTTAAAGTGTTTTCAATTATGATATTTGTTATATTCGAATATATTAGGGAAACAATTTTACGAAACTATTGAGAAGTGTACTAAAAATTTTTTCAAGAAATAAATCATTTTTTTTCTGAAGAATCCTATAAAAATTTAACTTTAATCGTAATATCGTACATAAAATGTACGATATTATATATTAACAAATCTGTAACATTATCATTATATTATAATATAAGATAAAGATTTGAGGTGTATAAATACCGCGAATTCGTATTGGATTTTGTATTTGTATTGGTGATTTGTAAATCACACCTCGAAAAATTATTTCTATATAATAAAAATAATATTTTAAATTCAAGAATTTTTTTATTTAATTAGTTTTAATAATAGAGCATGAAATATTAAAAACTTAGCTAGAAAGAAATATTTTTAACGTTTAATAGAATACCTTATAAAATTTAAATACAGCATTTTGTAAATTAATTTAACAATATATAAGTAAATTCACATTTATTAAAAAAAAAAAGTGGTAGTTTTTCTAAAATTATTTTTATTAATACATTATTTTATGTATGTTTAGACTTACAGTATGTAGAAGTGTGTATTATCGTAACCAAAATTTAGTTCATAATTCAAAGGGGGAATTTGTAAAGTAAATTATTTTAAGGTAATTACTACAGCATTTAAAATTAGTAATTGCATTTTGAATTTCGTAAATTTCAACGATACGTTAATGCAGTGGCGGGTTAGTGACACGTCGGTTATAATTTTGATAACGTTTTATGAAAAAAATAAATTTCATGTTTAAGATTTTTGCGATGTACTTATCTTTGAACAGAGCTAAATTTAATGAATTTAGTGACCGTAACGTTGTTTTCCTTATTAAATTATATTGTGTAATATTGTTTGCTAACGATACATAATCTGAATTAAGGAAATTAATCATATCAAGTTTTAACACTATAGAAACAATTCAAAACTAAAAACCTAACATTTTAGCTTCGATGCGAAGCGGAGAAGGTATTAATTTTACTATGATGTGTTTTTTTTTTTTTTTTTTTTTTTTTTTTT